AAGTATTCTTTGATTTTTCCTGTGGGTTGCATATATAGCTTCAGAATCTGATTTATAATTTAACCGCTCATGTTTTTTTTTTCTTTGTGTATAAAAGGGTCTCACTTTTTAATTTCTTGCATTCTAATCCCTGAATCTAAACTATAATTAGTAAGAAAAATTTACAGATTTTCAATATGGAGATGCACAAAATTTATTGTTATACATATACAGTGTTAAACAGTTTTAGTAAGTACAAAGCTACATGTGTGTCCTTGGACTTGTTAATTTCCAAGAGGATCAAACAATATAAAAACTACATTGGATTCTGCAACATAACAATGTTTTGCATATCTCCAAGAAGATGAAAATTCTCTGCTATTATATGGGAACATACAACAACTAGTGAGTCCTCTTGGAGTAAAACAAGAAGACTTGCCTAAGTTTTTCATGGATTTTTCTTGGTTCTAATTCTCAGTAGCATGAGTGCTTCAGGTCCAAACGAAGCTTCTCTGTTACTACTTTGAAGTCGTCCTTCGCTTGTCTCTTTGTCTTCTAGAAAGTTGCTTTAAGTTCATCTATCTTTGCTTAAGCTCGTCAAGGGCCTGAACTCGACAATAACAAAGATGTGATCATTTAGAAGTTGCAAAACGAATGTGCCTACTAATGGCAATGGTCAGGCATTGCAGAAGTGATCAGAGCAGTACTAACTCATGATTTTTTAAGTAGACTTGCCTGCTGAGTGAAGCAGTCTTTATTCGCGTAATCTTGAAGTTGATAAGACTAACCATTGCTCTCGTTGACTGCTAACAAGCCTGGAAATTCCAGAGAGCGCCCTCGAACCATTATGTTGTTTCACTCTATCTGTCAGGTATCAAATACAAAGTATCAGTTGTTTTGTTATGTTCTAACTTAGGTCCTGAATGCTGAAGATGGCTTGATTAGCCAGTGTTCTGGAGTCGAGCACCATATTATTCAAACGGAAATTCCATCATGACAGATAAACCACAAACCACTACCTTAGAAGCATCAGAAGAACACAATCTCAACTAATCTCCTAATCTTTAAACATTATACTACCTTAATATCTACTTCACTTCGGGGTTCATCCATGACATTAAGTGGTAACATTGTCTAGGAATTGTCGAGGCATATATTTTTCTCACTCGAATTTCAACCACAATAACACTATTGATCCACACATGAGTTAATCTCTTTGATGTCACTAAATTCAGACACAAAGTTGGAGGACAAGAAAAGGAAGCCAACCTGCTGCGCCGTTCCGGTGAGAGGCTCCTCGAGGGGCAAGAGAAATTTAATAATGTTGAGGCCTATTTTGGCCACGCACTGCACCGAGGAACCACGATTAGCAATCATGGTGCAGTGGGTGCACAAGCATTTGGAGGAGACCAATTAAGCAAATTAGCAAGTCATCGTAGCACCTGTAAAACGAGAATCATCCTCAGGACAATCAGAATTCACAGCACAGTTGTACTGCTTTCAACTAATCTCCAAATCTTAAAACATTATACTACCTTACTATATCTATTTCACTTTGAGGATCATCCTCGACATTATGTGGTATTATCGTCTGAGGATTTTTCGAGGCAATACACCTTTCTACTTTTGAATGTCATTCTTGCACCATTTGCTGCCCTGAAAACGGAATTTAAGCATATGATACAATAGATAACAAAGAACCAATACCGACAAATCAAAGTCTATTAAGTATTTGAATGAGGATGTTATATTGACATTATAATCCAACACATTCTAACATCTGATTATGGATTCCTATAATAATTGCAAACAATTGCTTTTCTCACATAACACATTCTACCTTCTCTGGTTCAAGACCCAACTCGGCGAAGCTTCTGATACATTATGCCAGCATTTAAAACATTGTAGATAAAGCAATCGGATATGTCTGAAAAGCTGCAGAAGAGATTAGAAAACAGGAACCAATTTATCCTCCTCTTCTGGCCTTCTCTCCATTCGGATCTCCCTAACAACTTGTTACAAGTGTGTTTCTGTTTCTTCTCATGCAAAAGACCATCCTTTCCAAATATTTCATGAGAAAAAAGAGGAAATCATAAGATGTGATACATAGCCACTAAACCAATCCTCCACAATCAATGGTGATGCAAACAAAAACCAATGAATAGGAATCTTGATATAACGAGAAGGTGGTTAATCTTATAAGTAGCATGAAAGAGTAAAACAACTTATCATTATCAGAGGCTTGCGAAATAAATTGAAGATAAACCATATGGTTCTTCATACCATCAGAAACTTCTAAATAAACAAACACACAGTCATACTACTCTATGTGAAATCATGGCCAATCTAAAAAAATGACTTTTTCTTTAGCCTGCATACCATCTTTCACTTTATTTCCACATGTATGAGTTTCAATTTGTGGTAAATCTGATTACTAACATTGGCATGCCCGGTGATTCTTTCCTCCCTCACTGTTCAATCCAATTCTTACACAAAGGAGTGTACACCGAGAACCGGACATCATAACTAAGGAACTCTCTGTAGAGCATATGCGCGACAACTTTCATCATTCCAGGGATTTCGAAGATTGTAGGATCATTCTCTTCGGCATATACCTCCATCTCTTCCAAACACAGGAAAAACTACATGAAATGCCTGATCATCCCCGACTCTTTCTGGTTCGTTTAAACCCTCTAGTCTACAACTTTTTCACCGGGCTTGATGAGAGCGAACAGCTTTTTTCTTCCCGAGAAACGCACTCACATGCATCCCCGCATTATCTGTCTCAAAGTGTAAGAGACCCTGAAACCAGAAAGGAGACAATAAGGGATTTCAAAGGATAATCTTGGTCATCATAATGTTAATGTTTGTGTTCATAACTCAAGGACAAGAGTTTCTAAATGTGGCAGTTCCTCAAGAGAACCGGCATTGCTTGCCATCCTCGATCCTTGGCGCTGGTAATACGTAAAAACTTGAGGTTATTGAACACCAGCATCGATTCACAGNATAGAGAAAGCACCTGAAATAAGACAAAACCCAACTCAGCACTACCCAGATGCAACATTTGTTCCAGAGTATTGAAGCTTGCTTCACAATCTATCCAGTGACTTAGCATAAAATATTTGCATTCAGACTAACAATGAATTTCTCATGCTTCAGAGAATTAGATGAGGCTGTATGGTTCATTGGCTTTCCTTGTAAAAATATTTACATACAAAACAAAATAGATTAGCAACTGACCTCGAGAGTTTCTGCAGTTAAGTAAAGTTTTTGAACATTTCTTATGCCACTAAAGAGCTTCCACACATTTCCTAGAACGTAAAAAACATCATTTTCATCATCTTCATTACGTGGCGCTCTCATTCGCTTGATTTCATCTTCACTTGCCACCAAAAGGTTGAGTTGAGCCTCAACTAAATTTGTCAAGTTAACATTTGGATAGTCCTCCGCAACAAAATCAGAATACTCGAGGTAAAGCAGAATTGGAGTATCAAAAGAAATGCTCTTTTGATTTACAAATCCTGATCAACTTGTGCTATATAGATAATTAGCTTCCTGAGGCTTGCACTTGACACAGTTTCATCAGGCTCTAGCCACTAACCTATAGCAATGACTAATTCCTCAAGCACAGGTAAAGAAGGAAGAATCCTCTCAAGCATACCACAACAAAGAAAGTCCGAGTTAATAGAGAGAGTTTTAAGCATCGGTAAGAAAATGCCTTCACCTCCTCGACGCCACTTCAAATTTACTTCTTAATTTCATCTTGATTAGTGTCCTACTGACAAATATCGACCTCAGATGCAGCACATTACATATCCAACTGTCCACACGAGCTGTATCAATACCAGTTTTACACTTGATGGAGAATTTATAGATGGGAGAATCACCCTGCAAAGCCAATGCTTTATCCACAAAATCCATGAAGCTCTTGGGGATGAAGAAAGACAGAGTCACAATGTCAAGCTCATGGATAAGTGTCCACAAATTGAGCCACCTCTTTGAGAGAACCGGTGTCAAAGCAAAGCAGCTTCCTTTGTGGTAAGAACGGACAAGATATGAAAAATAACCTCTCGTCATGTAAACTGCAGAACCGATCCACAGTCTCTGCAAGGTAACAAATTCGAGAATCAACTATAACCAAACAGTATAGAAACTGATTCAAGCACGAAATTGAGCACCTCTCCCCTAAAAGGAAACCCATATTGGAAAGCTAATTAAATTTTGAAACTTTGAGCCAAATCAAGCTCAAACGGAGAATACAATCAGTACCAAGTACAAGTTTTGAGTTAACTTGGGCACCTACCTGACGCACGAAATCAAGGATCCAAATTGAGGGAAGATTTTTAGGGCTTTTCTAGAAGAGAGAGAAAGAGCTGTGATACTGGAAAATCGCAAGACCCTCCAACCGAACATTGCAATGAGGAAACGAAGCCTTCAGTGAATTGAATTCTACGGCTTGGTTTGATTGGGACCGGTTTTCCAAAGCAAATACACTACAATCCTCAGTTTGATTTTGGTTCGGTTTTAAAATCAATTTACAATCTTCGGGTTTGTATCGAGAGAGGAGGGACTGAAAATCGGGTTTATTAAACCGACTTTAATTTTTAAACATATCAATCAATTTATAATTTAATTGTTTATTTCGTTTGTGATGGAAATAAACAAAAAAAAAAATGTTTTTATGAGTCGATTCGATCATGGGGTTTCTCGTTATTTTCTGTCTCCGATTGCCTTGGAATCGTTCATCTCCCGTGGAAATTCATATCCCAGTTCGAATTGAGGTTTTTTTTTCTATCTCCGAAACTTCTCCCATAGCTCGAGGTTTTGTATGGTAGAAATTTCTTTGTTTCAGGATAATGATGGATTCATGAAGAAGTTTGGGTTGGGTGAATATTAGATTTCAGAAACCATAACTTGAGAGTTTTAAGGGAGTATTTTTCTCCAGCCAAATCTTATTTTTCCGATGGTACTTTTCTGGATACATATATAGTTTTTTCATGAATTATATGAAACTAGAGCCTATCAAAGTTAGCTTTGTGATTGTGAACAAATTCCTTGTTGAGCTACATTTCACAATTTGAGATCTTGTAGTCGCACATAACAACTGGCCAAAGTATCAAAGTTAGTTTTGTGATTGTTAACAAGGAGTCACTGTGTTTATCATAAAGTTGTGACTCTTTTTTGGATTCTGTTTATCTGACTAGTTGGATTTTTTTTCATGATGGAAAAGGGACAGTTGAGGAAGGATTCATCAAGAATTAGGCTGCATACGATCAGTTCATGGACTCAGACAAGACAAGACAATGTGATATGGATACCCGAGTAAAGTAAGGTATATATGAGAATCACAACTTGAAATTTTTTTAACTCTAAGTAGTAATTATGGCTCAAAGTGTTTGATCATTGTTATTTGATTCATGGAGACTATCTTATAGATTATGAGTTTGACGTTTAATTATCATATGTATAGGTTTAGAACTTTGTTTGTAAGCCTAAAA